CATGTGAAGCTATGGCATTCAAGCTGCAGCGTGAGTCCCCTTTGCACACAAGCTTGGTGGGAAACACACCAGTGCACACAGGGAAAAGGTAGGTCAAAAGCATATGCTTCAACCTCTGCGATCCTTCCTCTAGCGTGCACAGAGATCACCGAGCCGTTCTTCCAAAGCACCTGAACCCAGGCTGTTTCGTACCTGGAAGAGGGGGCAGGTCATCTGTGTTAACACTTAGCAGCTTCGGCCACACTTTGCAACGAATCTCATCCGTCAAGAGCCCCCCCTCACTGATTGCCATCCGTCTGAGCGCAGCCACGTCGATAGGGTCGCTGTTCAGAGCCTGATAAATTTCTGCCACTTTTCTTTTCTTCTTAGAATCAAAGTCTGTAAGAAGATCACAAAGAGGCAAGCTGATACGCAATGCCAGCATACGGGGGGGGCAGCAACTCAAATCAGGGAGGGCAAAACCCACTCATGCGATGTCACACACACAACAAGGGAGATGACATGGGGCAGTTGGCACATGTCCAGACAGGACAGGCTAGGGATGACCCCAGCGGGTGACCCACCAGCTGACTGTCCCCATCTCCACAGGCTCAGCATCATGGGCACCTCATGGCTCGCAGGGCACCCCCACCACTTCCCTATCAACCCTGCCGGTCCCACTCCTGACACGGGAGCTGCCACCGCTACCTGAGTGGATCCCTTGCCCTTGGCTCCCATACTCCCCAACAGATCACTGCTCCATTCAGGACTGTGACAGTTGTGCAAAGCCATCCTGCAACTGTTTGCTCTCTGACGCAGCTGCCAGCTCAGGTGTCAAGTGTTTCCTAAGACCGGGACTTCATGTTCCTACCAACTCCCAGCTAGGCAGTGGCTCCCGGATGCAACTGTCCTAGGCAGAAGTGTGAGCATTTCCACTTGCAGGAACAGTCACAAGAAAGGACACAATTATACCAGAGTTAACAAATCACAAGCATATCGATGTCTCTCCTAACAAATATAAACTTGTCAGCTATTAGGATATGCACAGGTTAGCCAGTATTAAACAAATACCACGGTTTTGTGGAGCGCGTGAACTTGGGGGCAGGCAGGGAAGGGAACAACGCGCAAAGCACACGGTGCTCTGGTTTCAGATAGGTTAATTGCACTTACAGGACACGAGAGCACTTCCCGGGGAGCTGAGAAGGGACACTATTTCACACTGCATCGTGGTATTTATCACTGTTGCCTCACGCAAGGAAGAAGAGAGGCAGCTGAGAGCCACCTGATATCCCACTTTGGAGGAGTTTCCACTAATGAGGTTTTGCTGAGCAGCCGTGTGGCTGGAGCACAGGATGAGGCCATAAACGCTGCCTTTACATAAAGGCTTTGCCGACAGATCCAACTGCTCTTGGGATCCAAACAGGACTCGCTTGATAAGCGACGTGTCCAAATAGGATTTGAGGTGGGAGGAATTAAAAGGATCCTGATGGAGAAAGAGCTGTTTCTCAATGCCGCACCCTCTCGGCAGCAACTCGGGGAGCACACTGCTCTGCCCACGTGGCACCTCCAGTGTTTTGTCACTGCCCCAGCCTTCTCCCTGCTCCCGGGGGAGCTGCGTGTGAGTGCCTGGCTGGAAGCACCGCTTTCTGCAGCATCTGAATGGGAGACGGCAGGATGGCAGGCTGCTCACGCACAGACGCTAAGTAGGTCAAGCGGTGGATGCTGTCCCTTCTCAAAGTACTCTTTTCAAACACTTTTTGGATGAAAACAAGCTGTAACAGCCTACAACAGATCTCCAGCTCTCCTCTGCACACCAAGTTCCTGGTAACATTAAAGCTGCTAACGCTCACCCAGTGACCACAATTTCCTTTTGTTTCCTTTCCCGCCCCTTGTGCAAGCAAAGTTATTTGCACACGAACAGAAACCAGCTCCGCTCAGCTGGCGGTTCCCTATCGCCTGCAACACGCAAACACTGGGCTGCTACATACCGAAGCCTTGGGAAGTAGACGACAAAGCCTATGGAAGAAGGAACTCCTGTTCACACACAAAGAACTTAAGGAGTAGTACGAAGGAAGGAGCACATATTGCAGGCTCCTCTTCTAAGATTTACTGGCAAATACCCCAATATTTACACTGTTCAAATGTACAGCAGACAATAGCGGCAAGTATTAAAAAAAAAATCTATTTTCAAAACCACAAAATGTTCACTCACAGCATCAGTCACACTTTGAAGGAGATAAAACAACACAAGTTCAGAGCACAGGGGCTAACCACATCATAACTCAAACTGTACCATCATGAAATGTCCACCTGACCAGCCGCAAGCGGATTTTTATTTACTTCCACGGCTAAAAACAGTTCTCGCTGACGAGCACAGCACCCGCCTGCGTGCGGACAATGCAGACGATCTCCGGCGGGCCCAAGAGGGATGACCGCCCCCATCGCAGTGCAGTTCTACAGAGGGAAGCAGCCTTACGTTCCCAATGGAAGAAACAACGTGCAAACACCGGGCACCGGCACTTGCACAACGCTTAGCAAGGCCGGGCCAGCCCCGGGGATGCTGCAGAGCCCCCCGGGCTACTGCCGTGATGGGCGGCCTGGAAAAGCGAAGCCC